TAGATCCTTTATCTCGTCTACAATTTGTCCATTTATAATGGTGAGGAATAGAAACTCCAGATGTATGAGCAGTTGTTGTGGAATATTACTTTAACGAGGCAAAGATGTATTACATTTTTGATGCTGCATTTCTTTAATTATGTAAAGATGTGGCACTGTTTCACCTTGCCTACCTAAGGTACCTGATTGGTCTAATAAAAAGCTGAATGGCCAACAGCTAGGCAGTAGAGGAATATGTGGGGCTGGCAGACAAAGAGAATAAATACGAGGAAGAATCTAGAGAAAGGAAAAGAGAATAAGGGAGAAAGAAAGGGAGACAGCTGGAGCAAGGCAGCCTGGCTGCTGCCAGCCAGCAAGACATGGAGTAGGATATACAGAAAGAAGGAAAGGTTAAAAAGCCCCAAGGGCAAAAATGTAGATGAAGAGAAACAGGTTAATTTGAATTATAAGAGCTAGTGGGACAAGCATAAGATAATGGCAAGCATTCACAACTAATAATAAGTCTCCAAGTCATGATTTGGGAGCTAGTTGGTGGCTGAAAAGAAAGCCTGCTACAGATAGTAAACCAGTAGTAATGACTGTCTTCTTGCCTCTGCTGAGTAGAGCACTAGGAAGTAAGAGTCGGGGAAAGGATTTGCTTTCCATTTTATACTGTTTTATGAACTTTGAATGTTTTAAATAAATACACTTGAAATTAAAAATAGAAATATAGTTAGTGCTGCCAAGGCCATTGTTGTGGGAGATACTCAGGGAGATACTCAGGGGAATGTGAAGAATGCTGCAAAGAATCCACAAAGCATGATGGAAGTGGAAAGCAGGCTTCCAAGAACTGTACCTGGAGTCAGAAGGTCTCGTGAAAATGGTATCACTCTAGTTCATTCTTGCTGAGGAGGAGGGAGATCCATAATGGTGGTCAAGGTTGGGTAGATGGATAGCTACAAGATTCAAGGCTCAGAAGTCTGAAGAGCTTCAATGTCAATCCAGGGAGAACCTGAATCCCAGGAAGCTCTTACTCTCTCTTCCAGAAGTCAACCTTGAGGGCTTCAGCCCACTGAGACTGGATCTAGACTGCTGACTTCCAGAACTAGAAGAATGTGAATTTATTTTAAGATGTCAAGACTGTGTAATTTGTTACAGCAGCCACAGGAAACTGATACAGAGAGTGAAGCTGCATTTTTTCATGCTGAGACAGCAGGAACGAATAAGCATACGGCTTCAAGCTGAGGAGCAATGCCATTAAATTGCATTTTTAAAAGGTAACAGATGGTGAATTTTAGAATGCAGTGAAATGGCAGGAAACAGAAGCAAAGGAGTTGCGGGAGGAAACCATTTAAATGGTGTGTTCTTATTGATATAATAACTGTACAGATTTATGGGTACAGCATGATATGTTGACTGATATATATATATGCATATATATATATATGCATGATCTATGTTCAATGTAATAATCAAAGCAAGGTGATTAGTATATCCATCACCTTAAATTTTGAACACTTATTCATGATGAATACACCCAAATGTTCTCTTCTAGCTGTTCAGAATATGATAACATTATAGTTAACTATATTCACCCTACTGTGCAGCATATATCAGGACTTAACTCCTGCTATCTATCACAGCACACTATATACCAGCCTCTCTCTCTCTCTCTCTCTCTCTCTCTCTCTCTCTCTCTCTCTCTCTCTCTCACTTTCCCTTTTACTTTCTCTGATTTGAATCATTGCAATAGCAATTGATATTGTAAACTCAGCCTTGAGGAAATGTGAAAGAGGAGGCCCATGTTGAGAAAATATCTAAGTGGGGAAGAGCTCAAAAGTTCACAGTGGTTCAATGCAAGGGATGAGAAGTACCAAGACCCTCCATTTTAAATTTTATGTCATACATGGCTTCAGAATCTAGTGGCTACAGGGAAGCCAGGTGTTGATCCCTGGAGTGTCTGGAGAAGTTGCATGTAGAAATCTTGAATACTTAGTGGCAATGAAGTCCTGATTCTGGGAGGAAAGGTAAGCTTCTGGGGAGGTAGTTGAGGATTCAGATGGAAATCACCCAATATTGGTGAAAAAGGAAGTAATACTAAAGAAGAAAGGAGGCTAGAAAGATGGCTCAGTGGTTAAGAGCAATTTTTGCTCTTCCAGAAGAGCATCCAAATCTGATGGCTCACAACCACCAGTAACTCCAGCTCTAGAGGATTTGACGCCCTCTCCTTGCCTCTTTGGGTACTGCCACACATGTGTGTCCCCCCGCCACACACACACAGAAAGAAAGATATTAAAATAAATCTTCCCCCCAAAATGAAAGCTTTGCATCATTATTCTATATGTAAATGATTCATTTAAAGGGGTAAGGACAAAGTGGATAAAAATAAAGGATAAGGACATAGGAATAGACTAGGAACAGAACAGCAATGGGAATATCATGGGAAGAGACAGTTTTTAAGGAGTGACATGATGATAAAAAGTCTATAGTAGGCTAGATGGAGTGGTCATAGAATAAATGCTAGCGACACTCTGATTAAAAAGTCCTTGATTTTCTCCTCCTCTAGTGCTGCTAAAAAGCAATTGGAAGAGTGAAATGAAGTCAATGAGAGGAAGCAGAGAAATGACATAAAAACTCCTAAGAAATTTATTGAGAATGTGTTTAAAGTAAACAGTGGTAAAAGGCTCACATTAATGAAAAGATGAGTTTTCGAAGATTCAGCATTGGGAAAGAGAGAATCCAGTGGCTGAAGAGATTATAAAGATTCAAAAGGACATAATAAGCAAGAGGTAAGGTAAACCAAGACAGTTAAGAGCCAAAGCATAGACGGAGAGGTTTGTCTGAAGTGGGAGAACTTTCTATTTTCTGGGTTCAAGGGCAAAGGCTGATGAAAGGAGACCCAAGTATCTTCAGAGATTTATATACAGGAACAAAGGCTATTGGAAAATTCTATTTATAATTGTGTTCGTTTTTGTGAAAAAAGAAATGAAGAAGAAAGACAAAGAAAGTGATCGAGTCTAATTTTAGATATAAGAAGTGGAAGTATTTCCCCCCCACAGGTTTCCAAATGATTTGTGCAGAGATATTTATTCCAAAATGTTATCGTGCGAAGTAAAAACTAATGTATGGAGAGCTGCCCTCTAAAGATCTGGCCTAAAACATGCATCTCTAAGTTTTCATCATTCATATGGATCTAATGCTGCATGCCTACAATGATATCCACATAAAAGTCCATACCAGAAGGGCTTTTACACCAGTTACCTCCACCACCACCACCACTGGCAACAACTACAAGAAACAGGAGCAGTAACAGGAATGGCAACAAATGGTTGTGCTTTAGAGTAAAGGGAGATCAATGCCCAAATTTAAAATTAAGAACCCAGACTAACAACAAAACAGATAAATCCTGTAGGTTACACAGAAGTCTCAAGAATGGGGGTGGGAGGGTGCTTCAGGGTGAACATGGGCAGTGGTCACTCATAACTTCTTACAAGTCAGGCATAGCTGAAGTAAACTAAAATAATTGAATATTTTTCATGTAAACAGCAAGCAGGAAGTTGCATATATTATATTTCTGAGAACTCAGGTCAACAGTTGGATTGTGGCAAAGCTGGGTCCTGAGTGGCAAGAAAGGCTTTCCTATCAAGGGAAACAGGGTGCAATGCCAAAGCTTTGACCAATTTCCCTACGGGGCTCAGTGTTTCTCTTTGAGGACAGTACAGTGCCTGGAGAGAAGCATCATGTAGAGTCAGGAGCTTGGAGAAAGGTCAAATGTTCATCTCCCAGAAATCCCAGGCCTTGGCAATCACTGAGCCCCTGGCAAGCAGGAAGAGCAGAGGATTCAGCCTTGTGATTCAGTCCCTGGGCTCTGGAATAGAGACTTCAGGGAGCTTTGCCAGCTGGAACTGATCTTATCTACATTCACTTAGATTACACTGTTCTCTTGGCAAATTGGATTCAGAATATTGTTCAGATTCCAAAGTTTGAGAAGCCTGAGGTTCTCTATGACTTTGGAGAACTCTGGCTTACGGGAATATTCCTACAGCCACTGGGGCCCAGGGATTAATCTCTTGGTCCTGGAAGAAAGGAGCCAGCCAGAAGAGAAGCCATTCTACTTCTGCACCCTGTTAAATAAGGCAAATGTGGGTTTATATGGAGCTCACAGAAATAAGAACACTCAGGCCACAGACATAATTACCCCTTTGCTAATACTGTTGATAGAAGAGGGGCTCTAGTCTCAAAGGAAGTTTTGATTCATGTCTGGTAAGATGTCCCATTTCTTAAATTTCGTTGTGTCAATTCAAGACTTCCCGTTAGCAGCTCACACATCCACAACTAGCTCTCATTAGAATACCATGCAGATCAGCTCAGGAGGAAGTCCAAGATTAGCAATGCTAAATCAGGCTTGATATGATTATAAATACTCACGACTGTACCACTACTGTACAACAAAGTGACTTCAGAAGATTTTTAAAATTTTCAGGATATTGTACTTGGTCAGCCACTTTCTGTTCAGATAGTGGGGACAAGGACTTATTTTTAAGTTTGTCACTCAACACTTAAGATAGTTTTTCAAAACACAAATCAATATGGAAAATGGAAAATAAACCTAAATATAGTTAGTGCAAGATGGAATGAGAAGGGACTTAGTATGTTAACCCCTCATTCCTGTGAGGGGTTAAGAAGCAGTATGTTGGTGCTGCTGTGGGTAAATGGACTGGAACATTCTCCTTCCCTCCTATTTTATAGCAGCAGAATGGATGGCAGCTGTCAACCTTTAGTGGCCTCTCTATAGTAACTAATGAAGTGAACATATAGTTGTGATCCCATCCTGCATCGTCTAATACCCAGACTTGATTTTAGCAACCTGACCTTAGAAAATTTATATATAAGCACACAGAATTGGGGGAAATCTGAATTAATCCTTTTCCTATGGAGCCTTTATGTTTGGCCATAGAGATTGCTGGTGGGCAGATAGTACTTGCACAGGTGTAGAATTTGCCACGGAGCAAGCCACTCACCTTTACTGATGTCTTCATATTCCAGCCAGAGCCGCCGCTGGACTTGTTTGTTTGGGTACCATATAGAGCAGGATTCCTCAAAGCCATAGATAGCTTCCTGGATGTAATGGTTACCAAACTGATCCAACAAGGCCACAAAATCTGCCCGAGATGTAGCTCCGTCCAAGGAGTGGAGAGCATTGCTGAAGGCTATAGAAGAACGTCACCCAAGAGTAAGTAAGGATGGGCACTCACCAGTTAGGTACATGGATTCCTAGGCAACTTAGTCCCAAATACTGTGTGACCTGATGTGATGTTCGAGAGCCAGCTAGGAATATCGTGCATTTCTGTTTAACTGAAGTAAATGTTCCTGCTCCTAAATGGGTATCTTTTCAAGTATGTTGGTTGTGTTGTTAATTTTATGCAAGTTAAGCATATGAATGCAAATCCTGACTCCTGCAACTATTAGGTAAATGGTTTTGTGTCCCCTAAAACGGCAGTTCATGACATTGAATCCGTTTAGTCAGTTTAATTAATAGCATTTTAAAAATAGAAAGAGAATATCATAGTCTAAAATAGAAACATAAATACAAGCAAGGAACATTTCACATCATAAGATAAAGTATTGTTTTATAGTATATGTGTTGTGTGAATGTGGTTGTGTGTGAAGCACAAGGTCATAGAATAAAAATTATTCTGTGGGTAGAGACTGTGGTAGCTAATACTGATTGTCAACTTGATAGCATCTAGAGTTGTCTAGGTAATGAACTTCTGAGCATGTCTGTGAAGAAGTTTCTAGATTAGGTTAGTTGAGGTGTGTCCTGGTTGGTTTTTGTCAACTTGACACAAACCTAGATATACTGAAGAAGAAAGAATATTAATTGAGCAAATGTCTCCATAAGATTTGCCTATAGGCAAGTCTATTGGGCATTTTCTTGATTAATGATTGATTTGGTATTACCCAGCCCACTGTGGGTAAGTGTCAAGTCTAGGCAGGTGGGCTTGAGTTTTATAAGAAAACATTATGAGAAAGCCATCAAGGAGCAAGCTAGTAAGTAGCATTCCTCTATGGCTTCTGCTTCCATTCCTCCCTGGAGTTCCTGTTTCGACTTCCTTCAGTGATGAACTGTTAATGGGGAAGTGTAAGATAAACTAAAATAAACTCTTTCCTCCTGGAGTTGCTTTTGGTCATGGTGTTTTATCACAGCAATGGAAAAATAAACTGAAACAGGTGGGAAGACACGTCCTAACTCTGGGTGGTACCATTCCATGGGCTGGAGTGCTGGACAGAATACAAAAAGAAAGCAAGTTGAACACCAGCATTCATCTCTCTCTGCTTCCTAATCCTGCCACCATGCTTTCTCTAACATGGCAGTGAGCCAAAGTAAATGCTTCCTTCCTTAAGTTAAGTGTGTTAGATATTCTGTCCTAACTCTAAGGAAACTAAGGAATACAGGAACCAAAACTATTTATAGAAGATTTTAACTAAGAAATGGGTAATGAAAAAATAATGAAAGGAAAGGGGTAAGAAAGGTCATGGAAACAATGCTTGCAATTTTATTTTAGAAAAACCAAAGGTAAAGGAACAGGGAAGTGATGAGTGGAAGAAGGACCCTGTATGCCTCCTCACTCTTCATCTGAGCCAAATCTCTTCATGGTTTCTGTCGTTCTTTAAGACTCGTGGGAGAAAATCGTCTGTAGTAAACTTTCAGACTAATACTTCATCTGACCAGCTCTATTCAGCCCTCCTTTCTAAACATTTGTGTCCCCTTGGGGCAAGGTGGAGTCTAACCCAACCATGAGATGTTAAGTACCAAGGTCCACATCACTTGGGAAAACTTCATGTCACTTTGAGAGGCCTCTGGGAGCAGAAACACATGAGTGATTACCCATGTAATGCCCAACATCTGTGTTAGGTACAAACTGAGTATGTGGGCTGAGTAGTTTCTGTTGCTATGGTTTTTGAGAGTGAAGACTGACTTCGTTTTCTACATAATCCGCATTTGAGGTTTCCTTCAGTATAATCCTCATTCCAATCCCTTCTTCCCAAGAAATCCATCAAATAAAAAGTCAAAGTTTTGAGATCTGTTGTACCCTGTTAAAATGTTCTAACAGGTGTGTTCTAATGTTGTCTCCAATAAGAACGTTCTAGATTGCTAATCTTTTCCAATTCATGAAGCAGTATTTTTTTTTTTTTTGTTTTTAGTATAGCCTTCATTTTTTCATCACAATTCCTATGGCCAATTATTTTCCTTCTTTGACCCTGAGACTGCACTTCCTGTTTGCTGACTCTAAGACCCTAAATAAGCTTAGAAGTCACCACTCCTTAAATTATTAAAATATAAATGTATTTTCACATATCATTGCATTCCATATAACATACATTACTACATATAGTTAAAGACATATTTCCCTGTTGCTCTCTATTTCATTTGCTGTTTAGGAAATATGTTGTTTCTTTTTTTTTCTTCCTTTTTCTCTCCTTCTAGCTCCCTTTTCTTCAGGTCATCACACAAAATCTTTTAATCATGTTTTACTTCTTTCACATGTCTATTCCAACAATTTAGTAAAAGCCTACTTAAAAAAATACTCTGATCACACTGGATAACCCCAGGGGAAAAATGATATTTTCACTGATCTCCTCCTTGCCTCTTCTAGAGTATAAGATACCCCTTACAATTCATTCTGTGCTTAGAAAAGAATCTCATCCTATCCGTTTGCCCTGAAGAGTGAATCTGAGTGCCTGGGCTGTGTCTCTCATGCAGTGGCTGTGTGCTAGGCTGCTTCTGCAATACTGAGCTGAATGATCCCTTTGGAAAAGAATTCCCAGGCCTAGGGAGAGACAGAGGTGGGGGCTTGCTGTAGTGGATGCTCACCCTGAGAGACAGCTGCTTGGTTGAGTTTGATGTGGAACATCACAGACCGAACCTTCCAGTGCTGCAGCACGGGGTATCCAGACACTTCACTGAAGTTCACCATCCCTGGGGACAGAGGAGACAAAGGTCAGCTTGTGAGGCTGACTCACAAGTCCCAAGTTGAAAAGCATGACCCAGTTCAATTAAGCTAAGGATGTATTGGTGAGGAAATTAGGAAGTGCTCTTTGATGAAGAGACTCTGTAGAAGGATAGTCTTAACAACCATATCTATTGAACTCTTGCTCTCTGCCTGGCATTTTGCTAAGCACTTTGCATATGTTAAGCCATTTGATCCTTGTGCTATAGGTGTTATCATCTGCACCTGCCAAATGAAGACCCGGAGACCCTGAGTGTTTCTACAAAGTCCCCAAGAGACTAGGTAAGATAGGGTGGGGTTCCAGATGTGCCTGAACCCAGAACCAGGCTCCTTACTCATTTTATTGTAATATCTAGACAATAAATCTATATTCAACTCTAGACTTACTGTAATGCCTGGCTTTTAGTCTCTTTAATATTTGCAGTAATTGACTCAGCTCACGTATCTGTAACATTGATTTTTCTGTCTCATTTAACTGATTTATATTTGGTATTTACACTTTAATTATTCTGAGGCTGATAATGCTTATTTCTCCTTTACCAGAAGGGACACTGTCAGGGTAACTAAGTTATTAAAAGGTAGTGACAGCCAAATATCGAGTGCCACCTATGTGCCAGGTAATAGGATATCCATTTAAGGTGCACCTTTACCTATGAGAAAATCCAGGTTGTGAGAAGCTAAGTCTGTTGCCCAAGGTTCTCTCAACTATGCCTCCTTAGGGCCTTTACACAGTATCAATGGCCTGCTCTTCCTTAAGAGCTGAAAGAGCTCCCCTATTTGAATTCCAGCCAATTCTATAAATATATCATGCTTTTCTAAGCACAGAATGAATTGTAAGGGCTATCTTATACTATAGAAGAGGCAAGGCTGAGATCAATGAACATATCATTTTCCCCCCTGGGGTTATCCAGTGCGATCAGAGTATTTTTTAAAGTAGGCTTTTTAATAAATTGTCATTTATTAAATATATAAATAATTATGTCATAGGAAATAAAATAAAGACTTCCCAAGTTTGTAAAAACACAACTTTAGCTTTATTTCTGTGCCTAACTATATGTGTGTGTGTGTATATGTGTGTGTGTGTGTGTATGCCACAGAAATGTATATGTGCACTTATTCATGTACATATATGTACACATACACAAGTACACACAGGAAGTGTATATACATTGTACAGGATGTACACAATGTGTTCACAAATATGGCAATGAAACAGACATACATGTCAAATCTTCAGCCCTTTTGGCTCTTGCCTCTTCCATCTAAATCAACTAACTTAATAACTAAACTGAGTGATGAGTGGGCAGGATTAATTAGCTACTTGTCAACTCTGATCAAATTAGGTGAGTAATTACCAAATTTCCATTTCTGCGTGAATCATATGGGAATAATTATTGGTAAGGTAAAAATAAGAAAGGTCAAGAAAGGTGGCTTAAGTGAAGTGATTGCTTAAATTTTATCTCAGGTAATCAAAGAGAAGTTTCATGAAATGAAGGAAAGGTTTTTGGTGTTTTCATTCAAATGTTCATCTTTCAAGGTATGAAGCTTTGTGATGACAGTCATATGACTGCATACTTTGGCTTTCCACCTTCATGTTGACTTCAGAGACACACAAATGAAATTCAGACTTTACAAATGTAAGACTTAATTATCTTAAAGGAACTATTCATTAGCACAGAAAACCTGTGTGCAGTGCAGAGCCATGCCAATACAGTGTCCACAGCAGCGCATCCACTCTGTCGCTATCTGAAAATGTCTATTTATAAAACACACCAAGTCTAATATAAAGATCTTCAACACATGGGGTGGATCCCTTTAATTGGATGGTGTCCTAGTTGGACAAAAAGTAGACAAGAAACCAGGAGACCTGGGCTCCAGGGCTAGTGTTGCTACAGCTGAAAGTTTCAGAAGAAGAGTAAGTACTTTAACATCTGTCGCTTTTCCTTCTCACAACCCAAGTAAGCTCTCTCTGGCTACCTAGCTATGGGACATTGTGTTTCCTGGATGTTTAATCTGCAAAACCGTGGGCCTGGCTGAAATATCTTTTGGTTTCCTTTTCACTTCTGCGATTTCAAATAACTATATATATGACTTCAGGCAAGCAATGCAGGGTTTCTGTTTTCATACCTGAAAAGTGGGGCTGAGGGCATTTATCCCAGTTACTACACAGGCAGGGGTGAGAGCAGAAGAAAATTAGGAGTATAAAACCCTTTGGGGGGAAACAAAGCAGCATGTGCATGCATCTCCCTGTGACATTATCATCTTTCCTCTTTCTGTCTGTCTCTGTCTCTGTCTCTGTCTCTGTCTCTGTCTGTCTGTCTCTCTCTCTCTCTCTCTCTCTCTCTCTCTCTCTCTCTTTCTCTCTCTCTCTCTCATCACCCATACATGTGCAAACTTGACATTTATTAACTGACACATTGCTGTAACTTTGTAGACTTTATTCCAGAACAACATGAAGAACGTAAGAATAAGTAGTAGGTATGGGTGTTTGGAGATAGGCATGATTCTATCTCACCTCTACCCAGGATGAGTTACCTAGACTTGGGTATTGAACAGCCAAACACACTTCCAGCGGCTATGCTTGGGCTCCATGGCAGTCTGAAAAGTGGTTATGTAACGGTTAAGGCTTGGAAAGTGTCTGCCTATACCTACTTACAGATAATTCTTCCCTTACTTACAAAGGAAGGATAAAGTACATAATTTCTAGCTGAGTCATGTTTCTTTCTCAGTGTGTCCTTGACAGGCAGTCAGGTTTATTTTATTATCATTTTGGAACACATTTACACCAAATGGATTTTTTCCCCCAAACAAAATGTCTCTGGCTATGTTTTTTTGAGAATAGATATTGTTTTTTTATTTTATATTTTTAACCTATGCTTCAGGACATAGTTAATGAACATACCTGTGTATAATCTGTAAAGAGAAGGGGAGGAGAGAGAAGGGACTAGAAGAAAAAGACAGAAGAAGGGAGGGGAGGGAAAATGAAAGAGTATATACAAATGGACAGAAGACAGAACAATCCAGAAGCAGAATTCTACCCCAAATCTATAGCAACTGCTTGGAAAACTATCCCATCCCATTGTCTCTACTAACCCATCCAAGAAGTCAACCTAAAACCCACAAGTCAGTGTGTGGAAAGTCAGACCCTCCCTAGCACACTGCCCAAGAAGCCTAACAACTGTTCCCATAGCAACTTCATCCAAACACCTGGGATCTTATTAATGACTGAGTATCTAATACATCCCCCTAGCCAATGGTAGAGGTTCCAGTTAGCTTACCTACAGTATCCCCATGTCAACAGCTGGCAATCATACCTGTAACCTTCTCCTTTCTCATGAAGATTTTCCACTTTTCTCTCTATCTTTGAGACTGTGCCAAAACGCAAATGATAGCTGTTATGTTCCTTGCTATCGCAAGCCCAGAATAAATAGCTGTTACCTGTTTTCATTTGGCTGGCCTTCCTTTATTTCCATGCAGCCTGTAACAATGGAATGACCTGAGAAGCTTGGAGTTTAACTGTTATTCTGAAGAAGCCAATGAAGATTTATAAATCAGTATTTCCAGAGTGTTATTTAATAATTCTGCCAGATGGTCTGTGTGCAAAGGATTCTCTAGTTAAATAGGATTGGGAATTGCTGGGTTAAATAAAGTAAAAGGGATTTCTTGCCTGCAGGCTTTCTAATACTAAGGTGACGTGAGTTACTGCGAGGAGCGTGCTACATGCAGTTTTCCTGAACATATTTGAGGTCAGAACCGGTTTAGGAATAGAACTTGGATTTTCCATGAAAAAACAAAGCACAAAACATGCTTAGAAATGCTGAGACAGAAGATTCTGAAGATCACTTTAGCTCTAAAACCCTCCAAGCTTATAGGTTTGTGAGGATTATGGCCCATAACAACACAGTGTGACAGTAGGCAAGAGTCACTGTGTCACTGCATGGGAAGTTATCACGAAAGTGTTGCCAGAACTGGCCGGAGAATATGGAAGGCATTTGGTCAGTCATGTCTTTTTTCAATCCTTCTAGTTATTTTGTGTTAAAAACATGAGAGTTTACTCTTTGCTTATATCACAGAGAGACATGCCCTTGGACTAACTAGCTCTGCTTAACCAAAATAGGTTAAAAGCAGATAGAAAAGCCACCAGGTCAGGAAGCATTCACTTTGCCTGGGAGCCATGAAGATCAGAAGGACCTCAGCTTGTCATTTTTAACATTAAGTCCCATGAAGAGAGGTCCAGGAACACAAGGGTAAATATAATTCTGTTGTGACTAAGAATGTAATTTGAAGCATTTCCTTATTTCAAAGATGTGAATTCAAGTACAGGTGCTTCTGACATCTCAGTTCTATCCCACTCACTGTTTCTGAAAAGCTGCTGGCATCATCCTAGGCTGAGCTAGGCATCCTCTTAGCCTGGTAATTGCAGGACAATATTCCCTTCCAAAATGAACCATAAATGCATTGTGTGTGTGGGGGGGAACTAGTGGGTCTTTAAACAAGCAGCTCATTAGAAGCATGGAACTTGCCTTGTTTGTAGGCGCCAGCCCCCAAGCCTCCTTTATAAGTACACCACACACACACATACACAGAGAGAAAGAGACAGAGACAGAGACAGAGAGACAGAGAAAGAGAGCGGAGTGTTTCTCAGTAAACAAAATGGAAGTGATGCTAGAGACCTATGTTTTTTAGGAAGCACTTCAGAGTCTACATGTTAATACTGTGTGTATGTGTGTGTGTGGAGTCAGTTTTCCACAGACAACTGATTTTTGATTTTGAAGAGATTCCTGGAAGGCCTGGAATGTATCTATTTTTTATTATTACTTTATGCTGCTTCCTTCCCTACTATAGAGAAGACACAAAGGAGGCATAGGCACCTTTTTTGATACTGAGATATGACACTGTTGAGAAACAATGTAATCATCCACAAAACTCAAGCTCAAGAAATGGAGTACCGAAAAGAAAGAAAGTAAGCAAAAAAATCAACAAAATATTTCATTGGGTTATAAGTAAGCTTACCATTTTGTGCTAGGCTACACTTCCCACCACATGCAGCCACAGGCTGTACATGCTGAACAGTACTTCTCATTGGTCTATTTATTTAGTTAACAACCACACATGCCACGGTGTGTTAAGAATCACTTTCGTTAGTGTTAGTCTCTCATATCAATTCTATGGGGAAGATGGTGTTATAATACACATTTTTAAAGGTGAAAGACACAGTGGCACAGAGGACTTAAATAACTTGTCCTGAACTTAGACGAGTAAGGAGCAGATCCCAGCTGCCAGGCTCTGGAGCCCACGCTAATAATTACTATGCTTCATTGCCTCGGGAAGAACCACTTCTAATCCCTGGTATCTCCTGAAGGCTTATGCTCAGCCATTCATTAAAAAATGGAGGAAAGGAGGCAGAAAGGATAGAATAAGGAAGACAGAATGAATAAGGTGGAGGGATAATGAAGAAACAAGCATAACCAATGAAATTGAGCTCAAGCATATTGTTCTAGCAAATGATGCCAAATCCCAAGTTACTGATTTCTACAGTTCATGGAGCACCTCAAGCCCCTTCTTAGCTCAAAGAGGATCTACCCAGAAGCCAAGGCCCAGAAAGAAACAGCCCACCCTATGGGCCCTGCCTCCGCTAATGAAGTTACATCTCTGTATCATATAGACCAAGAGAAGGAACTGTGGGATTGAAGAATAGAGGGGCAGGATTTATTTTCCCCTTCACATGATGAGGGATCAAGAGGCCTTCACACAACAGAGCTGGATTCAAACACAGGGTCACTGGATAACAAAACTCTGTCAGTCTCTGTCTTATCTCACTGCTCCAGAACTTCTACGCAGGGACCACACTATTAATGCATGTTCAGGGGATAGATATACTCCATCTTCTCTCTGCCTCTATGACCTACATACCAAAGCCTCTGAATGTATATACATCCACTGTGGCATTTTCCCCCACCCCTTGAAGAATTTCTATAAAATTTAGCAAGAAAAATATATTATCACAGCCATTTTGTAATAATTATATGAGAATATTGACAATTTTACTGATAATTAATCCTAATAATGTTTGATTTTTATAACAGATCATTTATCATGTTTGAATGAAATGACTGACTTTGGGAACAAAAATGACCATGGTCAAGTGAGTGCCATGATTTTAAGAAATTCTGGATATCTACCTGGGTTTGGCTGTATAAATGAAGGCACACTTACCAGTCAGGAAGTCAGGGTCAGGGGTGGGCTCTGAGATTTCCTCTAGACACTGATTCTCCAGTGGGACAGTGGCAACCACAAGACCATCTGGCAGTTGCTGGTCTAAACCACGAGCAAAGTTGTTTTGTCTAGAAACAGAGCAAATGTTCATTTTCTGCCTGTCCACAGTACTCTTCAGCATGCAGTCCATATTTCAACATACAGTGTAAAACATCTTTCTGGTCCAAAAGTCATGCCTCACCTTGAGAAACATTTGGTACACATGACATGAGTTAGTCACGTGAATAAGGGAGGTAAAGGGGGCATAGAAATGAGAGGTGAATCAGCTGAAGAAGTCTATGGGCAGGGTAGAGAATGTTTCCCTCCACCCCAGGTGTCCCCTCTGACTCCATCTCTACAAGATGCCAATGCTCTCAGTTACATTTGTAGAATACAGAGAATACTCTGGCTATCACAAGACCAATTCTGATACCACACTTATTGCCCTGGAAAACCAATTCCATTGTTAAAAATATAAAATACTTGTAAAGTTTCTTGTCCATGACAGAAACGGGAGCTGAATACAAGAAGTACCTTGAAAATTTGCCTCCAATTTGTTTCTACGAGCATACATTAGATTGCTATCAAGTTGTGTTTTATGTTAGAAAACTGACATCACCACTGTCATAATCATCATCATCATCTCATGGAAAGCATATTCCCATGGCTTCTAAGTAAATTCAAATAGCCCAAGGAAGAACAAGTGTAAGGGTCAAATGGAGAATCTCTCATAGAGTTTCTAAACAAATGGTTCAAAATGTTTTGTCCACAGAGGTGCTTTTAATCTTCAAAATAATTAAATGTCACAAATATTTGGCCATGATCATAAATGTCAATATTTACCATGTTAGAAATTAAAAGAGAAAATTTTAAAAATTACTATTAGAGTACCAATAAACACATTCAATATCAACCTGTATTATGGGAAAAAGGGCAATGGCATTATTTTATATTTTTAAATGTCTGACTTAGTAGAAGACAACTGAATTCTCAGTTGAATCCAACTTATCTCAACATGTTATTTTACTTGAATTATATGAAAGAAATTTGGCTTTTGAATAGGTAGGACCTAAGTACTCCCTGAAGAGTTTTGGTGATGTCCAAGAATCCTTTGAACACACTCTGAGAGATGCTGTTCACAAGCCAGGTCTTAAGATTTGGAGGTAAAATAGAACTTGAACATTTTGGTGTGGCTTCAATGTGAAATCTTGAAGGTAAGATTTTGTTTAAGGTTTTACCATACACCCAGCATGCTTCTTGGATTCTTGAATGAAGAGTGTAGACTTGAACAGGATTATGGGCAAGAACACAATCTGTCCCTTTAGGTATCTCACAATCACTCTGATCTAAGATATACAACTTCATGTAACAATAAGTAAGGCTCTTCAGAGCAGAAGCTACACAACACCCCTGAAAAGTCAGCTCTGTGCATATGACGTTCACCTGAATGTTCCTTTTAGCACCTGCCCAGCAGCTACTTCTTTGGACTGGTTGTTGTAACCAAAGAACATTTCCCCAAAGAGAGTCTGGTTCATAGGGACCTCTCTGCTTTCTGCACAGTCACCTCCCTCTGGGCAGGTCTCTGTGACAAGTTGACAAGACCGTCCATCCACCCCAAGCTTGTAGTCTTCAATACACCTAACAGGATAGAGAACTCAAGATAAGAAGTTATTCGTCAATGAGTCATCAGGGCAAATCAACACAATAAATTGGGATCAATGCCTGTGGAGAAATGTTGGATGACCTCAAACTAGGAATAAACCTTTTGATTTAGGTCTCTTAAAACTCAGCTTCATACATCTATAAATTGAGGCACTTTTCATCATGACCACATCGAATGTTTATTTTTCCTTAAGCGGTAAGTCTTTTTGGACTCCACCTATCCTAGCCCTCTGATTTCTAAAGTTAAGGATTAGAGGAGATCAGCTTATAAGTGAGTTAACATACTTAAATATAAGATATGCCAGCATTTTTCTCACGAATATTCTGTGGAGCTTCCGCATTTGTTTGTAGGGTAATTAGGCAGCAAAAGAGTAATAGTGTGCTTAAGAAATTAATAACTCTCAAATCTGGTCTTGTGGTAAGTCAACTAAGAAATGAGGAAGATTTGTGATCTTCTAGCTGTGCTCTGTTTGAGTCCATACAAACAAACCACCAGCTCATACAAACTCCCCTCCACTCAGCGCTGACATCCTGAACTAAATAGATGCCAGGGCACAGTGTGAGTCCTGTGTGTTCCATAAACCAACAATCGCCTCCTCACTGCTTTCCGCATTGTGTTGCTCCAATGGGAAAGTAATACTAATTTGGTAACCATGGGTCAGTGACTCATAAGTCATTAATCGGACTTTATTTGTAGTTATTTTATGAGTAAGATACACTTATTAACTCAAGTAAGACTTAATTCTTTAATAAGGTTGCCATTGTTTTTTAAAAAATATTTCGTTCCTTCCTTAGAAATAGAACAAATTTAAAATTTTAAGATGATTATGATACTGAACACATCAATGATCATTATCTGTAGTAACTGTGATAGGTTAAAAGCTTCAGTCCTTTATAGAGGCCCAAAGGATCATAGTTTTTAAAAGTAGACATAATACTGTAACAACATTAATGCTGTCCTTAACTGTAACTCTGGGCCAGCTGCTTCAACCCTTGTGAGGTTTCATTTCCAAAACTGCAGGAAGGGTGGGAGTGGTAGCTGTTGCACTAGAGTGTTGAGGAAATTAATTTATATATTCAACATATAAAACTTACACCATCCTGAAAGTACAGCTAGTGCTGGCTAAATGGTGCTGTTATTATTAGCAGAGGTGCGAATGAGGACCATGGGCAAACAACCTGAACTGCTAATTCTCCCCATTTCCCATTTATACAGTTGTGTGAACAGGTGTGAATAGAGCATTTGAATTGTGCATGTGATTTGCTCCGTGTACAAAAACCTCAAATCAGGACATATCTGAAAGACTATATATAGTGCCTTGGGTAAGACTAATCAACATGTGCCTGTTTCCAACTGAAACCAGAAAGAAAGTCCAGTGAGAAATCATGGCTTTTTTTTTTTCAGGGAACCAGCATGATTCAAGGCCCACAAAGAACTGACTCCATGACTCAGAGGAGGTCTGGGACAAGACCTTGAAATGGCTCCTTCCTCTAGCCATATAAACTAGAGTTTGGGTGATGGGGGTTAAAGCTGACTGGTTTCATTTCAGTCTACTTTAAACATCTTGATACCTGCCTGTCTCTTCCATATGGCTCCATTTCTCATTCTTCTGTCCAAGTATTACACAGCACACTTTTTTGAGAGGGGAGATTAGGCTGGTCATCCTGCTGTTCCTGTTGTATCTAACACCTAACTAGGGTCTCTGCACAAGCGGGTGATGAAATGTACATACAGTAAATAAAAAGGATGTAACTCTGGCTGAGTCTGCTTCCATTAATTGAAGTGGGTCAACCTTAATGGTCACATTACAGAGAACATTAAAATTTAGAGCAAGCTTCTATTTATGGAATGGGATTTTATAAGAAACTAAATACGAAAATTGCTCAATTGCAAAGAAATGAGATAAAATACAATAAACTAACAGTACAAGTGCACTGGAAATCTTTTCATGGTTACTCAGCAGGCACCAGCTTTTAGCAAGCTCCTAACATAGTTTTATGACTTTAAACATTGATTTCCATTGCAAGATTATTAGATGGTGAGATTCTTGAAGACACGAACCTAAATGCTACTTTCTTCAGCAGCCTAGTGGTCAGTGTGGTGTGTGAGCACCCCAACTGACTTGCAGCAACAGGGTGGGGTGGGAGAGTGGGAGGCAGAAGCAGCGGGGGGTAGGAAGGGAGAAAAGGATAGATAAGCAATCTCTGGGCATAGCAGAATTGGCTAAATCTCTATTTACTTGATAAATATAGCATGAAAATGGCTTTAAATATAATTTCACTCAGTGATACAAATTTAAATTTTGAGAAAACTGCAGAGCTTTTAAAAAGTCAGAAGGGCCTGAATTCTGCTCCTAATTTTCTCATTTACTAACTTTCCAGTCTTGTGGGAGATCGTTCACCTCCCTGGACATTCCTTTTCTCACCTGTGAAATGGCGTGGCATTGCCCACCCTGTTCCCTCACATGGGTGGGGGAGAGAGCTGATCACAGGAAGAGCATAGACTGGGGGGAACTAATAACTTTGCAGAAGGAGGGAGGGCTGTGCAAACTGCAGGGACTCTGGGAGCAGAATTTGAAGTTTGCATTTCTTTCTCCTTCTCTTCTTTGATACTCTGGTAGTTTCACATAGTCTTTCTCAAGTTTTGGACCATGGGAATAGTGTCTGTCCCAAAATACATCATTAACATAGTTCCTCAAAGGCAACGCTTGGAACACCCTGGCTTAATTGGGCAATGATTTATGTAAACCATGCAGTTAATTTTTCCTTTCAGGTAAGCCAGAGGCTGCACTTCTGTAGCCTCTGGATTAGACTTGCCATAAGGTTCCTCTATGTTAGACTATCAAAGTGCTCATCCTGTTCTACCAGCTCTCTCCTTAGAGCCTAGGGAATGACCAGTCCATTAACAAGGACCTCCTAAGGTTTCAGCACTAAAAGTCCCTTGGCCCAGCAACCTCATGGTTGCTCACTCACCCGCAAAACATGAGGATGTTGTACAAGGTGGGGTCATCTGGAAAAGGCGCCATCTGCTGGAGACACAGCTGTTCGCAGCCGCCGTTGAAACCATCTGAACAGTCCACTCCAATGTGGCGGTCATAGCAGCCTGAGCTGTCCTTCATAGGGCTGAGTCCCGAAGGGCACTGGCACAACCAGAAAGCATCCACACCAGTGGGTAAAAAGAAGACCCAAGTGCAGCCACTGACACACTCCATGTGAAACTATTACCCCTGGCAAATAATCCATGGATTTCCTTTTGCCTTTTTGCATCCTTTTAAAAGCAAAGAACCTTTTTTTCTTTCTTTCTTTTTTAAACATCTTTCTGCTTCTCTCTGGGCACAACTCGCACACATTTGCATTAAGCCTCTGGCTCTGAGTAGCCTGGCATGGAGCTATGTGGGAAGACAGAGCAAGAGAAGAATGCTGCTTCCTAATTGGACCTCAGGCTGGCAGAAGAGGGGAAGTGATGGGCCAGAAATAAAATGTATTAAGCAGGGATTCCTGGGGACTAGGCAGAGCCATGATGCTGTTTGAACTCCACATTAAAAGGGCACTTTATCAAGGTTGGTACCTGTTGGCAACATTGGAGAAATGGAGTGAGCCAGGGATGCCAGTCTGAGGGTGGGAAGAGACTTCTCCTGTAGCCTTGGAGAGGAGTGTGATGCCCCTCACAGTGGAAAATCCTGGCCTGATCAACTTGCTGTCTCAAAGACACCCCTTGGAAGCTACACAGCCGACAGCACCTAGTACATGAGCACCCATGGGTGCTCTGCTTGGGTTTGGCCAGCTAGTTTAATGTGAAACATTCATTCTTCTGCCCCAGTTGTCCTCAGTCAACTTCCCAAGGGTAATGGCAAAGGAGGAAATCATAAAACTCTCAGATTCCGGGAAAGATCATGGAACAAGGTGAGCCCCAGCAACACTTTCACAGACCCCAGCAAGCGGCCTACCTCATTGTCTAATCCAACTGTGGTGGTTTGAAAGAAAATGGCCCCCAAAGGGAGTGGCACTATTAGGAGGTGTGGCCTTGTTGGAGGAAGTGTGTCACTGTGGGGACAGGCTTTAAGGTCTCTTTTCTCAAGCTTCAATGTGACAATCAGTCAACTTCCTGTTGCCTCTCAATCAAGATGTAGGGCTCTCAGCTCTAGCACTACATCTGCCTGCATGCTGCCATGTTCCTTGCCATGATGATAATAGACTGAACCTCTGAAACTGTAAGTGAGAAACCCCACCCCCCCACCCCGTAAATGTTTCTTTATAAGTGTTGCCCTGGTCATGGTGTCTCTTCACAGTAATAAAAATCCCTGACTAAGACACGGACCCTCAGAACAGCCCATGAGGTGAGAAGTGTGACCCATATGAGGAAACAAGGCACAGAGTGTTTAACTTCTAGAATCATAGCTGTTTCAAGCAGGTCCACATTTGAATCCCTGGCAGATTGTCTGTGGCATCCTAATTCAGTGGCTCCATCATCTCCTATGTCACACTCAGGCTCTTGAGTGACAGACCTATTTACTGAAAACTGAGCCTACACTATTTTCTCTCGTAATTTCCTGTGGTATCCTCATTCAAGGACAAAGGAACCCCTGATATTGCACTAGAATCTCTAAAATTCTATTTTTAATTTTTTTAGATTTTATTTTAATTTTTGCCACCTGGATCCTTGTGCCTGTGTGAAGATGTTATGCATTAATATTAAAACACTGATTATAACAGGCTGGGCAGAAGGCATACATGAAGGCCAGGCTCGAGCAGCTGGAGTGGGGCAGAGCTGAGAGCATGTCTAGATTTGATTCCAACACTCAGGATTTTAATAACTATATTTTGTTTTGTTTTATCTATCTATCGATCTATATATCTCTCTCTCTCTCTCTATCTATCTATCTATCTATCTCTCTCTCTCTCTCTCTATCTATCTATCTATCTATCTACCTACCTATCAATCAATCACCTATCAATCATATATCTATCATCTATCAATTTATCTATCATCTATCCTGTCTCCTTTCACTCTCCACTGTCTGGCTTGTCCTCTCGCTCTTCTGCCAGGCACCTTGGCTTAGTACAGAGCTTAGTGCTTGGCTGATGTGTCTCTGAAAAGCCACCTCTTCTCCCTCCTCTTTCCCCAGTCAACTATCACAGCAGGATATGCACTGTTTACTGACACCAAATCTGCAATTTCCTAAACGAATGGCCCCCCTAAGACCCGCCAGGCCCCCAGCTTGGTCCATCTCCTCTTCCCAAGAAGGCAGATGGAAAGCTGGAAGGTGGCAGTATTTAAAGCCAATTCCAAGGGCTGCCCCCTGCTGTGTACACCCAGATGTTCCCCATAACGGTTATGATGGCAAACAAGCAAATGAAGATGCTAAGGATTGCACCCCACGATTTGTTGCCCACCCCCATCAAGCTCCTCGGCCACCCAGCTGTTAGGCCAGATGTGTCACCAGAGGAGGCTGGCTTAGGCACCATGTGGCTGCCCAGGCATGATTTGGATATGGAAACACAAAGTGTTATTGGAATTAAATGTCTTGTATTGGTGGCCAGGAGTTGTCCCCCCTCCCCATCCCCCCTTTTATAAAGCTTGTTAGAATCCATCAAGCAGAGATAAAGCCAGTTGTCCTGCCAATACTGCTTAGCATAATTTCAACCCTCACACCAGATAGCTCTATCAGTCCCCAGCCAGGACTCCCTAGCTTCTCAGCCACCTGCTTTTTTTCAGAGCGCTCCATCATGCACAACTTTTGACAAAGACTTCGCTGAATGAAACAGGAGCAGGCTTTGTTCTGGAATTCCACGTCCTAGCATATTTCCATCTTGCCTGGCCCATCATGCCTAGATGACCATGGCTGCTCCTAAGTGGACCACCTGATGTTTAGATTCTCTTAAAAGATTTGGAGAGAAGACAACATTAGCTATTTTGTCCACATTAGATTTTTTTTCTTATAAGTAAAGCTAAATTAATAACCATAGCTATAATGAATTAGGCAATTCTTTTTGTAGTCCATTTTTATTTATGTGTATTTTCAGCAGTTCTAATAACCCAGGTACACTGTATCTTCTCCATTTTTAGGTAACTCAGAAAAACAAACTTGTTTAAGGCCACTATGGTAGGAAATGGCAGAAACAAACGTTGGGCCTGGATCTGTCTGACTCCAAAGCTTGTGTGTGTTTCTGACATGTCATTGTGCACCTGTGATCAAATCTGGATTCCTTGGAAGAAAGAAAAGCAATGCATCAACAGTGTAAGCCACCCTGTAGATTTGCTGTTTGACTATTTTGAGCCATTTCTGAAGCATATTCTTAGATCAATTATGGACTTATAGGTTTAGCCTAATGTTTTTTGTGTGTCCCTCTTTACACACACACACACACACACACACACACACACACACACACACACACACACACACACACACCATGTTATTAGTGGAACTATTTTAGAACAAAACACTGCAGGCTGTCTAGAGTGATGACCTTGAAGGCAAAACAAGATCCTCAGTCACTGAGAAAGATGCAATTATCTTTATTGTACTGTAACTAACTTGGGCAGCAGTTCAGAGCATTTTAGAAATATTTCCAGGAAAAAATGTTGAAATGAAAAACTGAGATTTCCTTATAGCTCTTGGTATCCAGAGCACCCATTCCCTAGGGAACTAATCATTCAATCATCCATGGAATAAATTTGGTTTTTCATGTGTCTTCCCTCTGTTAATACATTCAAATTTCAGTTTTCCTCACATTCTTGACCTGACTATAAAGAGAGGATACAATCAGCTGTGGTCCTGCTTCTGGAAGTAAGTGCAGCTCTAGCCATGGGGTCTGAGAAGCCCTTGTCTATAGAAATATTTTCTGCTGGCAAGACTTGGGTATTCTCTCCTTCTGGCTGTGGGTAATCTTTCCATTTGGTCATTGAATGAGAACCATTTGCCCAGGAGAGAGCCCCAAGGTCATATATTAACCCCACTTTGCATAGGTTATATTCAGCAATCCCAGGGACTTTATGAACTACAGACTTAAAAAGAAAACTCCATTTATTATAACCATAGCCCTCCCCCACCAGGAAGATCTAATAAATGAGCTCATATTTCAGTGACCCCTAAAATACACAAGGTTAATCATCTTTCATGAGATGTTCATGGCTTCTTGACTCATTACTAGTCTAAGGCATAATTTGCTAATGAGATTAAAGTGATTTTCCCATTCAAATCCCTTTCTTTTCCATCTTTCCCCCTCTTTTTCTACCAATGAGTTTTGGTTGATTAATTACTTAGGAGACTAAATTGGAGACCACATATCTCAGTTCCAGATTACAAAGTAGATACTCTGTTGGCAGATGGGTATGAGTGATGGACACATGAGCTTATTTGCGTCCCCGGGGAGAAGAGGGACAGATTTCAGCAGCTGAGCTTGCCTCACCTTACTTGGATGATTCATAAGGCATGTGACCACATTTTCTACTGGAAATAGGTTCTTTTTTACTACGTGGCAATCTCATTCATTTTGCAAGTGATGATTTCCACAATTTCTTGATGGGCTTTGACATACTGGTCCAAGATATGCAGGAATTCTCCCAAGGGGAAGAGTGTGATAGAGTTAAATTTATATTTCAGGCTGTTGTGGTTGCCTGCCCCAATTTCTCTGGAAATCTCTGAAGTGTGTTAATTTACTTATTGTCCTACAGATGGGAGAGATGCTCATCCCTAATGGTCCCTGCACATCTGTGCTCTAGCAAAGGTAAAAATGACACATGTTATGGGAAAACGTGGTGGACAGCAGGTGGAGGAAGGGAATCGGGGTCACTGAGCATAATGGCCAGGCAGGGAAGGTCATGTGTCTCACACACAGGATGCAGGGCTGTTAATCCTGCTCCTTTCATGTCCACCGTCTACTTCTCTAGTGTATTTCAATCTCTTACAAAGCAAAAGCATTTGTTGGCCATTTTCAGCATGAGTGTGAGCGTATAGCTGAGGAAGAAACGTGGGATTTCCTATTTTCTTTACTTTTGGTATAGCAGCGGCAGTAGTCTTCTAACTTTCAGGACACATTTTATGTTGAACCTTAGTAGGTGGGCTTGATAAGAGTGAGGGGGGTTGGCAAGATGGATCAGTCAGTGAAGTGATTGCTGCTCAAGCATGAGGATGTGAGTTCACATTCCCGACACCCATAGAAGTACAAGCCTGGTCTGTATGAATGCCTGTAATCTCAGCACCAGGGAGATATACACATAAGGATCTCTGGGGCTTTGTGGCTTTTAGCAAGGTTGTCTATGGTGATATTTTATTTGTATTAAAATGTTATTTGTATGTTAATAAATAAAGTTGCCCGGGGGTCAGAGCTATTAGCAAGCCATAGGAAAGCAGGGCAGTGGTAGCGTACGCTTGTAATTCCAGCACTTAGTAGGCAGAGCTGGGTAAGTCTCTGTGTGTTCAGGGATACAGCCATTATTGGATACACATGCCTTTAATATTAATACCAATCATGGAAAACCTGGAGGCCTATACAGACAGGCTGTGAGGAGGCGGTCATGTGGTTGGGTTTACAACCAATGAGAAGGCAGGACAGGAACTCTATATAAAGACTTTAACACAGGGGTAGCTCTGGTTCGGAGAGGTAGGACCACTGCAGGAGGAAGGGTAAGGTTTTGGCTCTTGGCTCTGACCTCTTGGCTTTCTTCTTTGCATTGGTTCTGTGTTTATTGTTTGATGGGAAGGTTGGATACATCTACAGTTGTCTCACTGAATTCTTCAGATCTAGGTTTAGTGAGAGATCTCATCTTAAAGAATAAGGTAGAAAGTGATGAAGAAAGGCAATTGATGTTTCCCTCTGGCCTCCACATGAGGGCACAAATGCATCCCCCCCCACACACACACAAGCACAATAATAGTTGATGAGGAAGCCTTCATGAAAACTGGGTTTGGGTGGGGGTGTGGTGTTCTATTTGCTAAGTCTATTCAATTCCCACTGCCATTACTCATGGATGGTTCATCCAAATTTGTCTGTAATACATTCATAGAAATGTAAGAGCATATCTAACCCTACATGGACAAAAAGACTTTACAGATAAGATTAAATCAAGGATCTTTAGATGAGAGGATTATCTGGAATTATTTAGATTGGCTTGATGTAAGCACAGGAGTGTTAAAAGTGGAGGAGGAACACAGAATGGAAAAGAAATAAGCTACAGAATAATGGTTAGAAAAATACAGTATCTCTGGTTTTAGTTAGTTCAGAGCCCTGAACTGAGAAAAGTGTATGGAATCCAGAAGCTGAAAAAGGTAAAGGAATTGGTTCTCTCCAGGACCTCCAGAAAGGAATATAGCCCTGACCATTCCTGAATTTCAGCCCAGTGAGAAGCCCATCCTGGATTTGCATGTAGAATTGCAATATAATACATGTGTATAGCTTTAAGCCACTAAAATCAGTGTGGTTTGTTCCAGCAACAATATGAAAATGTCTGATGGAGGAGACTTTAAGGACAGTGAGTGAGGTCTGGCCATTAGTAGTGGGTGGCAGCCTTATGCTCTGGGAATCCTCTGGAAGCTTTTCCCAGTCCCTGGTTGTTGGAGAGCAGTTGCAGTTTTGTAATGGTGTGTTGAGGTTTGCACAAGATTCTGGCTTTCACAGGTATTTGTTTCCTGTCCTTGGAGACTATATAAACAATGGGGTAATTAACTGGAGGCAATAACCCCCCCCCCCAGGAGTTGATGCATGATTGAAAGAGCCTTCCTAGAAAGAATTCATTCTAGAATTCTTTGAGCAGAGGGTATGGATGTAACATGAATCCTGCCTGTCTGGCTTGGGTTAAATTAGAAAACATGCAGTTGCAGCTTCTTCAAAGTCCCTATCTCTGACTCCTTCCCTGGTTCTTGAAGGTCCAGCATGCTCTCATTTCTCATGCTTTTCTCTTTTCATAAGCATATGTCTTTCTTGGGAAGTCTTTCCATTCAACACACAAAAGTCTGAAAATAAGGTCTATATGCAGAGGTGGGTCAATTCTCAAATTGTAGTGTGTATGGATTATCTTTGCCTCTGGCCCACCTCCAGATGAAGGACCACTCTGCTAACACATCAGGACAGTGAGATAATACAAATGCACAGTAGAGTCAGGTCAGGTTCAAAGTCAGATCGCTAGTCATCTTTTCAGTAGGATCACAAGGCTTGTAATGACATGTATGAGCTTTCACATACTCTACCCTTCTGCTTAGGGATTATTTGCTTCATAGCCAATGAGAAACAGTGAATGGGATGTGTCTGCCAATTGGCCTGGCCCCTTTCCCTCTAGGAGCCACGTGGAGTAGTGACTTCAAAGAATTATGCTAATACAGTGCTGGTATAACTGGGTGACTTTCTGCAGTGGATCCAATTCTGCAAATGCATATTCATCAGAGCTATTCCTGCTAGCTCCGTCTCACAGATTACAATGTGGAAACTGTAGGACTCCATCAGCACAGCTACATGCCAAGTTAAAGGCCAAGGATGGCCAAGAGAAGGCACCTGACAGGCAACTCCTACCCTGGAGGCAGGGTCCTCATAAGACGAAGTAGCAAGAATGAGGGAGTCAATTCTTGCGTATGAATATTCAAACCACGTTTAGGTGGCTAACAAGGGTGGGCAAGAGAGGATCACATAGGTGCACGCCCAGGTTTCAGTACTTAAAATGACCCCAGAAAATAATAAGGAATGAAAGGTTGAAATCAGGGTAAAGAGAAGCATGCTGGATAGTAAAAGAGAAAAACAAAGTACCTCATCTTGGAGCTCATTTGAACAGTGAAATTGTCTCCTGGGAAATTCAGGTGTGTGGAACTGGCCAAAGGAGGAGAGCATGGAAGGGCATCAGCTCACCTCCTGGCTGCCTGTGGAAGCCATGCACTAACAAGTGCTTTCCTTTGTATTTCCCCGAGATTCTCCCTGTTCTTCTTTGCCCTCTTTGGGTATCTGCCAGATCCTCCTATCTGCCATGCAGCTTTATCTTTCCTTTGCCTTTCTTCATGTCCACTTGTTTCTGATGTAAGCCAGACCCCTCCCAGCTGCAGCTTAGTTGGTACCAGCTTGGAGATGACACCCTGGACACCAGATAGACATTCATCATTGACACCTAACAGATCCCTGAATGGAACAGATGCTCAGAGCTGGGCAAGAAGGAGGGTGAAAGATGGGGTTGGCTCAGCATCCTCACAGCTTTCCCATGCTCAGGGTCCCCTCCTACATTACGGCTGTCAGAATGGGAAGTTAAATGGGGCACCATACTCCCCTCTAGGGCTGGAAGTTCCCAGTCCTTTCCCCCAAGCCAATAGTGCAGACTGTGTCTCAGTGAATGTTCCCTACCTCTTCTGTTCTCACTTTGAACATCTTCCCTGCCATCCTTCCCTGACCAAGCCCCTCTACCCCCTAAATATTTCATGATTCTTCCCTCTAAACTTCTAAAGAATGTAGGACTAAAAACAGATGATTGTGTTAGTGGGAACAGCAATGGCAAACATAAAGGAACCAGCCCTGGTGGCCCCATCAACTCCTGCCTCCATGTACCTTCCTGGTCCAGAACCATTTTCACTTCTCTAACCTGGGAGCTAGCATAGGACAGCCTAGCCCCCAAAGTCTTACTGGTTAACAAAATCACCTTTTTTAAAACCAGCTAAGTCTATAGATCTGAAAATAAAAAGCAAAACAAAGCAGAAACCCACTTCTTAGAGAAGCATGATTTCCTTGATCTAAGCGCCAACTGATCACAATATATAGGGTCTGTGTAGCCCTGGCTGGCCTAGAACTCATTATGTAGACAAGGTCTTCCTCCAACTCTCATAGATGCCTGCCTCTAGAGAGGAAGCTGGAGAGGTAAGCATGGGTGCTGAGAACCCCATGCTTTTCTGCTGTCAGCCTTAGTCTTTAACAACTGAGCCGTCTCTCTCATCCCCGATGCCATTTTTGTTCATGTTTTTCTCTACCATTTCGAGCATAACTTACTCTTTTCACTTTCCTAGCTGTGGGTGGGTTTCTCCTAAAATTTCCTATTAGGCTTGGAGCCAACGTCATTTGTTGGAGCAATTCATTAGCTTTCAAATAGCTCCTACCAGCTATCTTATAAGACTGGGAAGACTCCACTATTCAAATCTATGGAAGTTTCTCTGGGAAGGTCTAGAAAACCTGGTAGTGCTCTGTGGGTACTTCTTGATGGACTGATAAACTCCTCATTCCTATCAAGAGAAAAAGTCTTAATTTAGACTAGATGGTGGCCACAGCCAGCTACCACACATACCTTCTTCTGTATGATTACATCACATGTCACCCCCACCCCAGACAGTAACCTATAGGATAGAAGAACTGACATACCACGCAACCAGTAGAGTCCAACTTGCGGTCTGAAATGCAGCGGAAATTCTTACTGCAGCCTCCGTTATCTTTGCTGCAGTCACGCACTGGCCCAAAGGAGTCTAAGAGGACTTCCAGGCTGTCAAAGGATGATGATGTCATCAGCTCCTCTCTGTATGAAGAAGCAATGGAGGAATCAAGGGATTCCAAAAGCAACAAGTGTTCTTACATTCCATGTTCCAACCTGGTCTGCTTTTTCTGGTCTCCCTCTTCCATGAAAAATTGAAGATTAGCCACATTTAAAGCCCTGAGCTAACAAATCATGGGCATTCACCATATCTGGGAAATGAGCCAATGTTATAATGCCTGGTCAAAGAAGGAGATATGAATGTAGGCAAGGATATTAACATTTTATTGCCTGTCAGTCCTTGAGGTTTGTGGGAAGTGCTTACAAACTCTAATTTTATGTCCTCTTCCAGTGAAGGAGCCCAGGGTTATGCAATATTGACCCAAATAAATATCAGATCCTCACTGTGTATATGGGGAATTTGAAGGCAGTTTGCCAACTTGAACTTGCTGTATGCCCCCTCCCCCGGGCCTCACCTGACCTCCACAGCATCTTCCATCACAGTCATGTCGGTCTTACACTTTGCGGACGGATTGATTGCCAGTTCAGCTGGTGGAATCACAAAGCTCTTGCTGAGGGGCAACCACATGCCTTCTCCGAGAGTGTAGGTAAATCTGCGTGGACACACACACCGGGTGGTTACAGCTGAGCATACCTGCCCACTAGCATTCTGTCGCTAGCTGCCTCCTCTTCAGCCTTCCTGAAGACTCTGCAGGTACCCACACACCAGGTGACTACAGGGACCCCCACACAAAGGAGTTATGATGTAACATAGGAATTATACCAGAGCATCTGGAATGTGGTCATTACTCGCTCCTGTCCCATCCTCCCCATCCCTTGCAATTCTCTTCAGACAGGTGAAACGGTTGAAATAGTCTAGCATGGGCAGCAGGACCGAGTCAGAGGAAGACAGAGAGGCCTCAGCCCAGTCATGGGGCCAAAGAGCAGAAGATCTGATTATGGTGCCCATTCACTAGATATCAGAAGTGGCTTTTATCAAGTCATAAAAAGTGAGCTTCAGATTTTCCAGGTTTGAAGCTGGGCCTCCTTTGTGTTAAGTCATATGAAAATTGGAAGCAGTTTAGTTGAGAAGGGATACTGGCCACCCCCATCCTCATCCTGTGGCTGTATGCTGCAGTGGAAGCCAGGGTTTCTCCCTGCCTGGGGGAGCCCAGAAGTGGAAAAGACAGGAAGCTTTCGTTTTCTCCTTTCTGTATAACAGGAATAGAAGTGACTGAAGTCAGGGGCCTCCAGGGGTGAGAAGAGAGAGACAGATAAATGAGAACAAATGAACAAAACAGGCCCAGATTTATTTTCTGAACTCATGCCCACACCCTGAACTGACAACGATAACCCATGGGATGCAGGGAAGACTTTTTTTTTTATTTATTCTTATAACAAGAGCTAAAAGGAATAAAAGAATCAATCAGCATTTCAAGGGAGAGCTTAAGGAAACCAGGAGAGATTATTTGTTTATTTATTCATTCATTTCATCTCAAAGACATTAAAATGCTCTGTATTCACAGTAAAAAAAAAATAGTGTAAGGGATAAAAGCCAATGTGGGTGGAATAGCACAAGGCGGTGGCAGCCTAGTGTCTCCTCCCAACCTGCTGTGGAGGGAGGAACAATGGAAGGATATGTGCAATTAAGTAGAACGCTGTGCCGGTGCCATCAGCACGCTGGTCACAGCCGCATTTCAAGTCTTGTTCCTCTCTCCTCTAGCCCACACAGTCTTCTCTTCTCTCTCTGGGTTGCCCGAGATGTTAGGAAAGCAGACTGGTGCCTTATAATTTGTTTATGAAGTGTGTAGCCAGCCCCAGAATGCTGGCCACAGAGCAGATCTACAGATTGGGGATGCCCAACTATGTGGTTTCTTCCCATGACCTACATGACAGTCCTTGCCATTAGAGTTGCTGAAAGAGAAGGCAGGTTCCAGCATCACCACAAGGGATTCTAGGAGAGTGGTACATCTCTGTAGAAGTGGGATATGGCCTGATTTGGTAGATATTTCTCCCATCTCTTCTCTGTTTCTTAGTCCTCTACTGTTCTGAATCATCTGAATTTCTGGAGATGCTCTAAGGTATTTCTCATTCTGCAAAAGACTTTCAGATCTTCCTGCATCTAGGAATGTGAGGTAGTAGGCAAGCTATGACTTGGTGGGGCGGGGGTGTGCAAAAATCATTACATATGGTGTCCAACATGGGGCTCAAATATCCACATAGGATCTGGGAAAATAAGTAGACTTTCAGGTAGGCTCAAGTCATACAGAGTCATGGCTCTTTTAAGAGGCCCTGCTGTACAGACAAGCACTTGAACAGCTGGTACTGGGTATAAGAAAAGTATGTAATGAGTCTTTCTCTGTTCTGGCAGTTCCCAAATAATGACACAGAGACTTTTTTTAATTATGAAAGTTCGGCCTTAGCTTAGGCTTGTTCCTAACTAGCTCTTATAACTTAAATTAACTCATTTATATTAATCTACATTCTGCCACATGTCTCGTGGCTGTTTCTTCTCCTCCTGCACATCCTGCTTTCTCTGCATCTCCTGACGTCTCCTCACCCCTCTTCTCCCAAAGTACTCTCTGTCCTTGGAAATCCCACCTAACTTCTTCCTGCCTAACTGTTGACCATTTAGCTCTTTATTAAACCAATTACAACAATGTATCTTCACACAGTGTACAAATATCCCACAACAATAACCTTCAGGCATTTGTATGATGTCATAAAGGACATTCTTGAGGTAGTCACTCATACTAGTCAGCTTGAACAAGGGCAACATTAACATGCACCATTTCAGAACAACCACAAGTTTGAATGGCATCAGGATTCTGTGGCTCATCGGACATTGACCTTTGCTTTCTATTTTGCTTAAAATTATACTTTTACTTGGATAATATAACAGGTTTTAGGAAATATTTGGTAGTTCTAGTACATTTGTGATGGCTAATTATTTTCATGGAAAAGTGGGGTTCCTGCCCAGCCATTTCACAGTGTTCCTACGAAAAAGCCATCTATGACATGACCCAGCTGAAACTCTTTGGCATATTCCTGTGAATACAAAGTTCGAAGTTCTGAAGGTGACACTCGGATGACATCTCTAGCTTCTTCTGACTCCCAACTCTGCTTCATCCTTCTGTTTCTTCCATATCATATGATTGTAGTTCCTAGCACCCTTCGACACCTTTCATCACTTTACTCTTGCTTCTACTATTATTTCTTTCTGGATTTTATCTCCTATTCACCTCAACTGACTCACTTAAACACTCATTTACAGTCACAGATCCTTCCAGAAGGTTCTCCCACAAGCTTCGTTTTCAATACTCAGGCCAAGCAAGTGACTCTCTGCTTTCCACATTACATAATCTCTGCTGCAATTCATGTATTGAATTGTACATGTCTTTTTCATTCATGGGTTCATCATCACTAAGGAGAATATGCATTCTTGGGTAGCAGAGGGCATTTAACACAACAGACTAAGGATGTCACTCAATAAGTAGTTATTAATTAATATAATATTTTGTTCCTTCATTTTCTTTTTTTTAAGATTTATTTATTTATTTCATATACAGTGTTCTGCCAGAAGAGGGCACCAAACCTCATTAAGGATGGCTGTGAGCCACCATGTGGTGGCTGGGAATTGAACTCAGGACCTCGGGAAGAGCAGCCAGTGCTTTTAACCACTGAGCCATCTCTCCAGCCCACTTGTTCCTTCATTTTCAATGGCATCTGGGTGACAAACCCATGAGGTGCAAATTTACGGAATACATTGATGAAGCTAATCCTTCATGGTAAACAGGATGTGAGCTAACCTTTGAGTCGGAGACCAAGACATAGTTTCCATGAGAAGCAGAAGATGAATTGCTCTTTTAGTCAACAAGCAAAGCAATGTGGTCTCCTCCAGTCTGTGGTAGAGTCAAGGTGAAACCCCATAAGGGAAGCCCAGTTAGATGTGGAATGAAACTAACACTTACTGAGAACTCTCAGAAAGGCAGGCACTTGGCGGAGCTACTCATTTATCATGACGGCCTTCTCCAGTGAGTTCTTTGGCTCCATTTTACAAACACACCATTTAATACCATAAGGAGGTCAGTGACCTCCCAAAGGTCAACTCTTTGTAGAAAAGAAAGATGGAGGTGGTCAGATACGCATCCCAGCAGCTTGACAGTCCATGATGGCTGGTGCCTATGAAATTCTAAAACTTTCTTTCATCCACAAAATCTACTGAACAACTCCAAAAACCAAATATAGTCTAAGCTGTTAGAAAAAAAGCTGTGTCCTGAAATCTCATCTGTCCCTCATTCATGCAAATTTGGCAGGGATGACTTTAAAAACACCACCCAAAGGAAGCTGAGTGAGCATCTGGAATGCATTCCCACGTTGGGGTTTCACTAGAGACAGCTGGTGGTGACCACTTCTTTTGAGGACTCAGTTTTATGCTTTTGAAACCCAGCTAGAAATTTCTGTCCAGAGGCAAACACTCATTAGCCAGTGTTGGACAGAGTATGCCTGTGGACTCCCTCATTTGGTGCAAAATAGAATGTAGGGAAACATAATAGCTCTTGACCTGGCATCTTTACCCTTCCCCAGGCCAGTTTCATCTAGGACAAGGTGTTATTCTCAGGCATGAAGGTACACACTTGAAGGGAAGGTTATAGAGACTCTAACCTAGTTCTTGGCACCAGAGAGTTCAGTGGAATGGATGGATCTTCACAATGAAGCACCATGAGAATATCTTTGGTGTAAAAACACAGCTGAGTGAACCAGGGCCCTCTTGCATCTAGCTTGGGATTGATGACTTTCAAAGTTGGGTTCACTATCCATAGCCTTTCCTTGTCTGATTTCAAGAGCTTGGGAGATACCTAAAATAACTGCCTATATATACCTGCCAAAGGCCTACTACATGTTCAAAATTGTGTCAAATCCATAAAGCTCTTTCTTCAAGAAAGTAACCATCTTATTCAGAAGCAAATAGCCATGTTAAAAATAAGTCTAAGGTAAATTAATTGACAATTAACTACTATAGTCATTTATTGTGAAACAGTACAGAAGCTGTATATCAGTGTTTATCAATCATGGCTGTAGATGAAATTTACCATGATGTCTTTAGAAAGTATTCATTCCCTGGGTACAACTCCCAGTACTTTTGAATAAATTGGTTTGTGACAGGTGCTTTGGTCCATTAGCACATAGGGCCAGGGATAAAAGACCACCTCTTGGGCAAGTCTAAACACTTTCTTTGTCAAGCCTATCAAGGTCATACCTACAGCATCTGAAACAGTGCTTTGTAATAATGAATGTTCAAGAGATGACAGATGTGGAGACCTGGTCTGGACAATGGAAATGTTCAATGTTTATATTAGGAGTAAAAGATGCAATCTTGCTGAATGATAGAAATGATAGAGTATGAGAAAATAGTGGCTACATTGAATTGGAGAGAGTAGAAGATAGATTTGACTAAGAATGGAAAACTCCGTAGGAGAAGAGCAACTTATTTAATAGTGGAATGTCAACATTCAGTGGTGGAAAGATTTGACTGCCTGAATTTAAACTCTATTTCATATGTTAGAGAAATATGCAGACTTGGAATTGATTATGATAAAAATCATGAATCAGTATAACAACAAATAATAAGCAATTTTCGTCACTGACCAGATCACACTTTTCTCAGAGTTTCCACTGGTAAACGGTTGACTTAGATGCCAAAACGGTTTTAATTTAACAGTGCCCCAGATAAGCGAAGCACAACCCATCGTATTCATTTGAGAAAAGAGTTATTGCTGTGTTAGGAACCAAACTTGCTAATAACATATTGATCACCCCACTGGCTCCTGAGGCAGTGAAGTCATGGATTAAAACCACACACCTGCTCCCCTCTCTAGTAGTGTGTGGCTGTCACATCCATTTGGCAGCCAACAGGTTTGAAAAAAAATTGATGCTTGTAGAAATGAAACATATTTTCATTTGCAAGTTCTTCTCTTATAGAGATTTGACTAAAACCTTTGTTTTTTACTATTAATTTACAATTTGTAGGAAACAGAGACCTTATTTATGTTAATCAATGAAACCTCTCATGATTTCCTGTCACTTTTTTTTTTTTAACCTTCAATGGTCCTGGCAGTTGAACAATGAGAAAATTGGGAAAAGTCATCCAAATGAAAAACCATTGTTAGAAAATTTAAGTATAAGGAATATTGCTGATTTCTCTTTGAATGGAAGTATTCAAATGCAGCCGGTAGCCGGCATCATTAACTTGACCCATCCTGCCCTGGGAGAGACACTCAGGAGACTGAAGGGCCAGTAGAGGCCATTCAAAGAAGAGGTCATGTAAATGTGAACTATAGCTGTGCCCATCCTAAGTCATGAGGAGGGATGACACAATTTGCATGTGGTAATGGGCTCAAGAGGGTGAAAGCAGGGGCAAAAATCAACACCAAAGTTAGGTGTGACTGATAAAGGGCTAGAGAAGGTAGAAATAAGTGAGCCTCAGCCAGCTGCACGACTACCGTAACAAGGAAGCAAGCGCTCCACCTGTCCTCCGTGGTGATAATTTGTTTGTGAATAACAAATAAGGCTTGCCTGAAGATCAGAGTGTGGAGCTAAGCCACTAGTTAGCCATAGAGGCCAGGCAGTGGCGGCACGCACCTTTAATCATAGCACTCGGGAGGCAGAGGCAGACGGATCTCTGTGAGTTCAAGCCACAGTGGGCTACACAAGATTGATCCAGTCTGAAAGAAAAGCAGAACCAGGCAGTAGTGGCACACACCTTTGATCCCAGCACTTGGGATCTCATGCCTTTAATTACAGCACTAGGGAGGTGGAGACAGGAAGTGATATGGTCGGGTGGAGAGAGGAATATAGGGCGGGAGGAGACAGGAGCTCAGCCTCTTTCAGGCTGAGGAGTTGTCAAGGAAAGATACATGGCTGTGGCTTGCTCCTTTGTCTCTCTGATCTTTCAGTATTTACTCCAATATCTGGCTCCAGGTTTGTATTATTAAGACCCATTAGGATTTGTGCTACATCCACCACTCACCGTCTTTCCAGCAATGGCATGTAGTAATTGAGCTCATTCTTTGACAATATCCACCTGTGAAGGTCTGTTCACTTCCTCCAAAAGTGGGCTTGCTCATGGAAGAAGACAAAGACCATATGCCAGGTCAAGCACAACCTCCGGCTCTAAGTAGGTACGTGGTAAATGTATGTTAAGTGAAGAACAAACTGACTACAGGAATGAACAATAAGATCTTAGATTGGAAATAAGCTTGTGTTCCAGAAAAGGCCTGGTGTGAATTAAATTTTATGAAAATTCAATAGTTCATGGCTGGCACCCAAATTCTCCCTTCGCTTGTGAGTCTTCGTAATATGTGCTATTTCCAGATATGCAGGTAGAAATTGGGAGGGACTAGAATCATCAGATTTGATCAAGAGGGTAATAGATAAAAGAAAATAATAATAAGGTAGAGTTTAGAATGGAGGAAGGCAGGGGTGGGAGAGATTAATTTTGAACAACTCAAGACTCTATGAGGAAGGTGCAAATTAGATGTAAAGTGGAGAGGCAGAAACTGACATTAATTGCCTGTTCTGTGCCAGATTTTGTGCTGGGGACTTTCCCTGTATTATCTCATATATCCCTCACAATAATCCAGCCAGGCATGCGATACAGCCCCATTTAACAAATGGGGGACCTGGAGGCTTGGAGAGTTTAAGCCCATTACTGAAGCTCACTGGGCTGGCAAGGAATGAAATTGGACCCAAACAGAATCTCTCTGACTTCACAGCCCTCCATGCTGCCACCGGGTATGATTTGGGTCAAGTACTTTTTGTTCTAAGTAGACAGAACGAGTCCAAATGTGTCCCATGTTTAACAATGGAAATGTTCAATGGGAGGTGGAGCACTGAGCTTATAGACATACACAAGCGCATCCTTGGATGTGAACTTACCTGAATATTTTATCAGAGGGCTGCTCTCCCAAAACCAGGTCAAAGCCTCGTTGAAATATTGTGTAAGGCCAAGGCCTAAAATGAGAAACATCATTCAATTAAAGTCCACTCTACAAACACTCTCTTCATGTCAGGTACTGTGCTAGGTCCTAAGGACCCAAAGAAGAAGAGTACATATTCCTTGCCCTCAAGAAGCTCATAAATGTGAGCTCATGTACAACTTTGAACCCAGGAAAGGGACCAAGAACAAAGTTAGTATTAAAAAAAAAAACAAAAAACAAATCACTGAAGTACCAAGAAAGCAGAAATTGTAGAACATGACATTGTTGCTACATAGAGTAAGATAGGACTCAGGCACGATTTACAATCTTTCTGTTGTACATTCACAGAAACCTATATTTGCCTTACTTAAGAAAGATGGGGGCATGATATATTTAAAAAGCCAAGTTCTTTGAATATTTCCATATTCAAAGCCTGTCCTGCTACTGAGCCAGTTGTTTGAGTAAGATGGATAGTTTGCCTTGCTGACTCCACCTCTTCACTGGCTAAATAAATAAATACATAAAAAATAATGAGTTAATAACAGCAACTTTACAGACCCTCAAGAAGATTAAGCAAATTTTAGGTCAAAGGTCATAGGTCAGACTCTCCACTGTTTCCTCTCCCTACTCAAAATGATGTGAGGGTCCTTCGTGTTTGAGATATTCCAGATGTATCCAAACATTTTTAATGACCCTCATACAAACAGAAGCAATTAGTTCTTTTCAAGTCATTATCAGCTCCACCCTGCCAGTAAACATCTGGGTAGTGGCAAGCATTCTAGAAAATAGAAAGAGATCTCTTTTAAACAATGTGTATCTTTTTGATAGCTCAGCCATGGAAATCCCGAATGACCTATTCATTCCAACAAGTCTTAGTAAAGCCTAGAACTTGGGTTAAGTATTGAGCTCTTGTGTACACTGGGTGGGCTTAGTCTTTCAATTATGAAGCATAATTATGGAATAGTCTCATAATTAATCCAATTACTGAGCATTTATTTTGGCTATTCCTTTGTTTCCTGAGAGGCACAAAAAGTCAGAGAATATGTTATAATTATTATTTGGTGCTAAATATAATACTAATCATTAACTCTATGGTTGCCAGTGCAAGGCTTATCATCCAGGAGACAGAATTGGGGGAAATGTGAAGGATTGTTCTTGAATGACACATTGATAGTTGAACAGCACTGGCATGTAAAGGGACAGAATGTCTGGACTACTGCAGTGCCCAAGATTGTGCTGCACAACATAAAATGTCCCCATGTCCTGCAAGCTTTTGAGTGTCATATGGCCATTTTGTTCAAGTGTTTAAAACTGTTTATAAATCTGAGCCCAAATGTTAACTCCATTAACACATAAACACAAAGTAGCTAGCACTGTTTTAATATGAGATCCATTTCAGGTGTGTAGCTATTATGCAGATTGAGGGGAAATTATACATTGTATAATCATTGATTCATCAACACAACATATACTGGTTTGAGTTTATTTTGTTTTGTTTTTTTTCAAGATAGGGTCTAATGAGGTGCAGGCTGGTCTCAAACTCACTTCATAGCTGTGGGTAGCTTCAATGTCTTGATTCTCCTGCCTCTGCCTCTGAAACATTAGGATTACTGTAGGGTACCATTACACCAGATGCAATATAGCATATCTTTATCAGACTCCATTGCTCTTATTATATATCACATATTCATTATGTCTTCCATTAAGTAAATTGCATTATGTACAAATGTCTGTAGTGGCACTTTTTTGTGCTGTAATACAATATTTACATGTTAAAAACAGTTATTATGCCACTATAAATTACTTTGCTATTTCTCACTTAATTACTACTAAAGCATTCTATTTACTTGCGGAAATTTTGTATGCACAGCTCATATTATTTATGAACAGTATAAGAGATTTTTAAATGGTTGTTATCAGATGGGGTGTTGGACTAAATCAAATTGAGAATCATCAACTTAACCTAACCAGCTAAACTATTAAAGCTGCTGGAGAGCCTGTGCTTTGCAGCAAGAGGAAATGTGGTCTATTAGGATTGTATAAGGGTTAAGACAGTACATATGTGCTCATTTTTATGCTTACTATTTATAAATACTTTCTTCCTAGAATTCAATTTAGAAATATTCAAGGCTTCAAAAGTATCCAAACACTGCAAAATGAATAGCCCCCACATCAAAGCAACAGCTCCCCCACCAGATGTTATCTATGTGTTTGTTCCTTTCATCATAGATGGATGCAGAATAGCATTTGAATTTGCTTCTGTTTGTCTGAATAGTAAGTGATGTCTCCTGAGCACTACAAAATATGAACCAGTTCGATAAAATACCAAATTTATGAGGAGAAAAAGACCCAGCTGATCCTAAACTAGTCAATTAAAAATAAAGAGACATGCTATTTCATTTTTTTCTTTGGGGGCAGTATCATATTCACTTAATATTGTTTAATAATTTTAAATAACATACATTTTGCCTTCAAGTCATCTCTAGGTTCAAAACTGGTACACTGTGGAACTGGAGTAAATTCTTGCCATGGTTCCTAGGTTGTTTGAAAATACATTTTGAGGAGGCAAATGGCAGGACTGGACTGATTACAATGTGAATATGAATTGCATAGGATGACTTAGACATACACACTTCTGTCTTCAAGACACAGTCAATGAATCAGCAAGCTTGGAGACACGTACGCAGACATCTGCATGCATCTCTGTGAAAGCAGAAGAGGCCTCCAGCTCTTGATTAACTCAAAAGCAAAAGCAATTCATGTAGGGAGGGCTCAGATATTCAGTGTATAGATTCCCCCCTCACATTTATAGGCAGGAGGGCAGAGCAATTGGAACATAGATTCTGGAGTGAGTCTGCTTGATTTGAATTACAGGACACCAACAATACCTATAATGACCTTGGGCAAGTTCCTTAACCATTCTGTATCTTTATGTCCTCATCTATGAAATCAGGCCAACGGCAGTAACTGTGTCTGCCTGGTAAGGTTGTTATGATTAGGAACTAGTTCATATAATTATGTGCTCAGAACAGTGCCTAGCATTTAATGAGTGTCATAGAATCTGTTATTAAATATGTTAAATTTGCTAATTGCCTGGATCAAATATAAATCTTATAATGAGTGATTTCTTAATGTCGATAGAGCAATGGTTCTCAACATGTGGGTCGTGACCCCAGTCGAGTCACATTTCAGTTATTCTGTATATCAGATATTTACATTATGATTTATAACAGTCTCAAAATTACAGTTATGAAGTAGCAACAAAATAACTTCATGGATAGGGGGTCACCACAAGATGAGGAACTATATGAAAGGGTCGCAGCCTTAGGAAGGTTGGAAACCACTGTCATATAGGAAGGTGTGTCTTGCCCCGCGCGGTACAATGCATTGCCCACACAGGCTATAACTCAGACACATTTGAATTTGCAGGAGAGGAGACAGTTGTGAGCATGGGCAAACCAAGCCCCCCATCCCCCAGAGGAGCTAACTGTTCAGTATTGACACTCATCGCCAAGACACAGGGAAGAGAACATCATAAAATCCCTAGAGAATTCAGGGAGTTGCTGATCGCACTAGCAAAGGAATAAAAAGAAACATTTATTTTCTCCCTGTTAATCAGGGATGATCTGCCAAAGATGGGGATTCTAATTTGAATCATTTACCAAATATTTCTGGAGGTCTATTGTGTGTTAACTGCGGTACTAAGCAACAGGAATTGGAATAAGAAGATTTTTGCCCTCCGAGGACTCTGCAGTCTTTCTGAAGAAACACATATTCGCTTAGATAAATAGTCAAGAGTGTTAACAGGGAAGAGGGGTGGAGTTACAGGAAGCAGGCTTCATGCTGGCTGGGCCATCCAGAGAAGAGAAGGCTGTGTGTTTGGCAGGGCCTGAAAAAATGGTGGGGAGCTTTGGCTCACAGCACTGGGGTGGCTACATCATGATTCGGGAATAGCAGGAAGTAAAGAGGAAGTAGATATAAAAGCACCAAAAATACTCTGAAGCCGAAAAGCTGGGACCAACCCCAAATGGAAAGGTTTCTGTTATTAGAACTCCTTGAATCAAGTTAAGAAAGAAAAATGTTCTGGCCCCAACACAAGTGGAGCACGAATCCTAAAGGGTCTTATTATAAAAACAAACCCAGATATTGGGGTGAATGCTGGAAGATCAGAGAGACAGAACAAGCCACAGCCTCCTCACCTCGCCAATTCCTCAGCTGATCCTGTTTCCTCAGACTGGATGCCTCTCAGCTGAACTGTGCCACTCAAAGCCTAAAAGCTTAACCAGGCTATAGTTCCTCGTCCTCACCTTTAAATACCTTTCTGCCTCCTGCCATTACTTCCTGGGATTAAAGGCGTGAGTCACCACGCTTGGCTGTATCCTTGAACACATAGAGATCCAAGCAGATCTCTGCCTCTGGAATGCTAGGATTAAAGATATGTGCTACCACTTCCTAACCTCTATGTTTAATATTGTGGCTGTTCTGTTCTCTGACCCCGGATAAGTTTATTAAAGTGCACATTATTTTGGGGAACACAGTACCACCACACACAAGGAAACCTATTCAAGCTCAGAGCGGAGCTTTCTCTTGAGTTTAGAAGCCAGGTCTACAGGCTGTTAGAAATGTCCTGCTCCTTTCTTTGCTGCTCACACCATGAGCTTTGTCTTCTCCACATGGCTAGAGGATAGGGTGGATGCCTTCAGCAGCCCCAGCTCAAGTCTCCACAGGCCCGGACCTCAGAAGAGAATATGTCCTCTCCATCATTAGCAAAGCAATAACCATGGAATAATGGCTTGATAAATCCTAGGTCTCTCAATCAGATTGTGGGCCAGGACACAGAAGCATCTAAGCAGGTTACAAGTCACACTGGTTTCTTCAAGGTTAAAGCTGGGAGACGGTAGACACTGTTAATCAAACCAGAGATTTTCACCTCAGCTTTTACTGTTCTGGTGCCTCCAGCAGGACTGGCCATCACTGCTGGGTGGGGTAGACCAGGCCAGAGCTAGCTGTATGGAGAGGGCCCTGGACCATCTT